CAGGTACATATGAAGGCCATTCCAAATAACCTATAACTTATCCCAGGTACATATGAAGGCCATTTCAAATAACCTATCCCAGGTACATATGAAGGCCATCCTAAACCACCTATAACTTATCCCAGGTACATATGAAGGCCATCCCAAACCACCTACAACTTACCCCAGGTACATATGAAGGCCATTCCAAATAACCTATCCCAGGTACATATGAAGGCCATCCCAAACCACCTATAACTTATCCCAGGTACATATGAAGGCCATCCCAAACCACCTACAACTTACCCCAGGTACATATGAAGGCAATCCTAAACCAACACCAATTGTGGCTTTATATGGATCAACAACTGAATTATAATGAATATTTCTATGATAACTAACACGGATTGGTTCATTATCTGTACGCTGACTACCATGAAATGTATTCATCGGTTCTGAAATAAAAATAAAACAAGCCATGCATGGCACAGTCCCTGTTAGTTATCGAATTTAAAATGTATAGTTTTGTTTATAGAAATATAGCTGGAATATAACCATGTCAGGAATATGATTATTATGATGATTGTTTAACATAAAATGATTGACATTTGTATCTGATCATCAAACAAGTACTTGTCCATATCGAAAGATATTGCTCTGGAACAGCATTAATTGAAACAAAATCAGCCATTTTGAATACATGTATATATCTATAACATGATGTATAACGAATATATAAAATTTGAACATAATCAGTCAAAGCATGTCAGAGATATGGCTCTAGAAGCCCAATCATTAAAACAAAATGACTACCAGTCAGCCATTTTGAATCCGATCTGAAAAATAAAATGACGTGCTTTAGAAACCCATAATGTTTAATGATGTTATAAATTTGAACAAAATCCATCCATAACTGATTGATTTTTGATCTTTTTTTAGCACAAAAATGGCCATCATTTGGCCACTTTGAATAGGATCGTCAAATCAATATATCTGTATATCTATGACATGATGTATAATGAATATTTAAAATTTGAACATAATCAGTCAAAGCAAGTCAGAGATATGGAACAAGAACCACATTCATTAAAACAAAATGGCCATCAGTCGGCCATTTTGAATCTTATCTGAAAAACAAAACTATGTGCATCAAGGTCCTATAATGTTCAACGTATATATCAAGTTTGAACAAAATCCATCTGTAAACAGCCGAGAAATGCTTGATTTTGATAATTTTTTAGCACAAAAATGGCTGCCATTCGGCCATCTTGAAACAGATCAT